AAAACGTTTCCGCTCCTACAAAGAACTTGCTATTTCAATCATAAAGATAAAAAGATAATAATGAAAGGTCGCCAAAACCAGAATTAAATATGATTAATATATTTAAGTATATTTACCACTTAAATGCATAATGTTGATCTGTAAAGAATGAAAGAAACAGGACTGCAATAGTGCTGTAGAGAAAAAGAGAGAGGGATAATCATTACAGCTTGTCATTCTAATTAAATCTGACTGGTGAACTATTTCTATCTCCATATATAATGACTCAAACTGACAACTTTCCCAATCTCTGATTAATATTCTGTAAGAAATCACTTAAGCATTTTGAATGAATACTTTTTCAATAAAAATTAAAAATCCAATTAAAAAAAAACTAAGATCTCAACTGTGGTCCTGACAACAACAACAGCTGGAATGTCAAGACGACGAGTACGAAAAGCGTCATTACCTGATGCACATATATATTGTACAAGATAATGTCTGATGTTGTTGTAGTTGCTTATCGTGATTTTTGTGCAGGCCAATGTAGTGTAGTTGCGTTACGCCCTCGGCATGCTGTTTGTTGTTGTTTTTGTTATTAAGAACTAATCTACTTGTAAAATCTTAATTAAAGTTATTATAAATATATATGAAGAGAGGCGGCAGCTGAAGCAGTCGTAATAGCAACAGTGATGTCTGACATGCACCCACCCACCCACACACACACTTGTACAAACACACACACATAGACACACACACTCACTGGCTTATACTCTGTAATATTTGTTGTACATTTGTCTGGCTGTCTCGATGTTGGTTTGTTTGTTTGTTTGCCTTCCTTTTTTTTTGCCCTGTATGCCCTTGGCTCTACTTTTCCGTCGTTAAATTGCGCAGCTGTTTGCACTTCACTTTATGCATGTGTGTATGTACATGTTGTACTCCCCAACTCCACGCCCCCTTACCCACATTCTGTGGCAGCAACAGAAAAAGAAGGCATGTGGGTGGCCAAGTGTACAGCAAGTGGCACCAAAAGTATTTGCGCTTTATTATGACAACTGACATTAGTTTGTTTGATATTTGTGTTGGCTGCTTGGCCGGAGTCACATGCGTGTCCCAGTTCCCCAGTTTGATAAGATTTAATTGAGTTGTCGTTGGTGTGGGTGGGTGTGGGTAGTGGGTGGCTCCTGCTGGGTTCAGCCTGCGGGCATTTGTGGGAAAAGTCAAGTGTGCAGCTGCTCTTTGCATTAGTTTTGTACGTTTGTTTTTATGTCTGTCTGTCTATCTGTTTGTCTGCCACACGCTCAGTTTTCAATGATGAGTTGTTGCGCCTTTTGAAGTTGTTAACCTTTTTTAGGGGTAATGCTGGGGTTAAGGTTAATGCCTGTTAATGCGACTTAATCAACCCAAAACGCACAACTAATCAACTCCAGAGTTGCCAGGCACCAACCCCTCATATAATTCCAGCAGCCGAGGAAACAGAATCTGTCGCTTTGCATGCGAATTGAAAAAGTTTTGCGCACAAATTTTTAATGAAATAAATTAAAAAAGCTGTCAGCTGACTGTAAGTTTATATTAGAGCTGATAAAAACGGCAGAAGCAGCTCGCAAGCAGCAGCAGGATCAGCTCTGCGAAATATGCTTAAGTGTTGAGTTACGCTAAATGGATTTTCAACTTGAGCGCGACTTCAACTAAAAAAAAGAGTCAACTACTGCCAACTAAACTGTCATGAGCGAAAAAAAAAATTAAGAAATTCAAATAAGCAAACGGGAGACGCCATGAAATTCGATTAGCAACATGCCATTAAAACGACTGGGAGGGCTCGGAGTGGGGTCGGGCTCGGGACCCATTCAAGCTACAGTTAAGCATTTTAAAATTTATAAGATGCCAAAAAGTTTGTCCGTTAGTTTTGTTGAATTAATTAGACAAAGCCTGAGCTACCAGCTGAAACATAACAGTCTGGCTAACAATAAGTGATTTATGGACTATAGTTATTTGAGGGCCATGCGAAACTATATAGTTAAGCTAACATCTCTGTGGCTAACACAGAGAAAATTGACAGTATAATTGATTTATTTATTTAAAGTCCACATATGTTATTTATTTTCTTTTATTTGTAAAATATTATAGATAATAAAATATATGTACTAACATAGATTTTAATTAAATTCTTTCTTAGGTTTAAATAAAATCTGATAATAATATGCTAACCTTTGAAATCAAAATATTTTCAATTAATCCAAGTATTATATTTATGCTTGTTGTCCTACGTAATTATCTAAAATTCTGTTTAGTCAATTTTGTGATTTTAAAATCGATTTCAAAATATTTAAGTTATTTGACCCAAGATATAAGCCAAGATTACAAGAAAAAAGAAGACTACATACTTAAAAAATTTATAAACAATAAAACAAAAAAAATATAAGATGGTAAAAGAAATTTTGAGTTTTTTATTATATATATTTAATGAAATTAACGGCTAAAACATTTAAAAAATCCTTTTATCGTTATTTAAAATAGTTTCTTTTATTCATTTACTTTCAGATGAGAAGATTACTGAAATTTAACCATCGGGGCTTTACCTAATTAATTGATTAATTTATACTTTTCTCTCTGGCATATTCATATATTATCCCTAGAAGGTTGAAGTTTCCGCTCTAGCAACTCATTAGCCAATCAACATTATCTCAAATATGAATATTCGTAATTTGTTAAACACCTCTTGGAAATAAGTAATTTTAACTCCAGTTTTATATTTTTTATAACTTTTAGTATTGAGAGTCTACTTCTTAAATAGTAGTAAATTCTCTGACTCATACTATATGACATAAAATTTTTCTAATTATGTTCAATGGCGTTGCAATTGTTTAATCAACTGCCGCTGAAAAGGTTTATTTGCTATTTGTACCTTTCCCTAATCCAAGCATTGGATAAATACAGAAATAAATTTGAAAAGCCAAAGCAGCTTAACCAGAAAGGAAATATACACACAAGTTACTAGGTCATGGCTCAAGGCAATAAAACCACAAAAGTGAATAGTTGTATGTGGGACCATATAACATACTATTTGTGTATATGTGTATTTCTATAACCATATAAACTTACCTACAACAAGCGAGTTACACGATAATAAAACATATTTTAGAGCAGGCAGCAAAAAACGCTTACAAACGACAGTTGGCAAGGCAACAGCAAAGAGGGGGCGGCAGTTGAAGTACAAGGGAGAGCTGGGAGGGCTAGCACTTCAGAGCGCTTTTACAATGGCAATACACACACACACACACACACTCAGCCAGAGATAGATATACAACACTTATGTATGTATGCAAGGCGAACTACTTATGGTAGCCAAGCTAAAGTGCAGGAAAAACTATTGCCAACACACACACGCACACAAATTGTATTCGTGTATATGCGCATATAAAACATTTATTTGTTTTTGTCGGAAACACTTGGTGCGTATGATAATAAATACTTAATCCGCAACAAAAGAATATTAAAAACAACAATAAATGTAAATGCTAAAGAGCATAAAGAAATGCATGAAAACAAATGCTTGCTCCCAACTGGACAGAGGCGGTTGGATGGCTAGATGGTTAGATGGTTAGAGGGTGGGGTGCCTGGGGTGGTTAAGTTGGCAGGTGTGCTATATGTAGCATAACAAGAGGCGCTTTTGAAATGTAAAATGAACTTGCTTTTTATGCTTCCCCAACATGCATGCATACATACATAAAATTATTGTATATAAAAGCTAACAAACGCCAGGAGTCATGTATATACTAGTTGTTGCTGCTGTTCGCATAGCACTCTGGTAACTTTATCAAAAGCAAATAAAACTTGGCGAGCAAATGTTAACGAACCACAATAAGCCAAAACCACAAAACAGTTTTCGTCATTTTCCAAAGAAAAGTCATTAAAATAGACAAAGACAGTGGTATTACTGGTGGCTGTACAATTATTACAATAATAATCATACGCACAGTTGCACCCACAGAAGTGAGAGAGAGAGAGAGAGTGTGTGAGAGAGGGGGCGAGAGATTTAGAGAGCTGACACTCAACCGCACCCAAAAAGTAAAAACAACAACAAAATCTATTACAGATAACAGTTAGCTGCTTGTGTATTTGTTGTAGTTTAGTTTTATAATTACCATTTTATGCGGCTTATATATTTACACATAGTCTCCGCTTTTGAGCTTCTGTGAGTTTTTCATATTTCGTTTTTCGTTTCAACAAATATTAACATTTTGCTGGAACGATAAGCGAAAACTTTACATCCTGTGCGTGTGCGTTCTGCTGCGTTTTTGGCTATGAATTTGAATTGGAAGCACACTCACACACACACACACACACGCACACACTCACACGCTTTCTCGCTCGCATTCGCCAGCGGCGCATTATTATAGAAATGTTCCCAAAAAAGTTTGCATTGCTATCAAGGGGCCATCTAAAGCGTGGCATCAACATAGACCTCGACTCTATGCAACCCCTTTCCCCTCTCCCCGCTGGCCAACTGCCGTTGTTGTCGTCTGTATGCTGAAAAGTTGCCCGTGTTAAACTTTAATTACAACTAGTAGAGTTGCTTCTCGGATCTCCGTTGCCTGACAACAGCTACGCGAGTCTGAAACTTTGCATGGCTTAATGGGTATTTACATATGTAGTCATCAGATAATAACATATTAGAAAGCACTCAGTCGGTTTTACACCAAGATATGAGTGATGAGTTTATGGCTTATCATGGTTATCCTTTCAGTTATCCTCTATGTTCAGAAATCAAGCAATCAGCTTGGGTTAGATGTTTGCTGGCTTAAAGGTAACCACTTAACTTAAATTGTTCTTAATACATATATATAAATAAATACAGGCTAATTGGGCGCTTATATGACGAACTCTTGTTAATTTTGGTACGCTTTATTCTTTTTTTTTTGTCCATGAATTTATTTGTGACCTGAGAGCTTAATCCCTTTTTCTCATTGATATTATTGGTATTCAAATGCTTTGACTACTCACTCAAAACTAAGCATTCCTTTCATTAAAGGCAACATTTAAAATATTAAAAGTAGTGTATATAAAAACCAAAGATTTGAGAAAAACACAAAATGTTGCGAATCATATTTAAATCTTTAATATTTCTTTGATTGCATACACAAACCTCTAAGCTTTTATAAGTACAAAAAGGTCTGCCTGCAAAAGTAATAAAGAAAAAAACAAATATGAGAATTGATATCAAAATAAAATGCATACAAAATAAATAGGGTAAGCCAAGCTTTCTTCTTAATCATTCACTGCAAAAACGATTTTTTTTTTAATATTTATTTATAAACCATTTTTTAATTTGAACAAATATCATTAGATAAAAGAAAAATAGTGCGCAGAGATTTTGATATTTCCTAACTTTTGCTTTAATTGAAATGCTTATCGATGCTCACAAGTACCTCATTTGGAAGGCAGAAAGGGTCATTCATCATTTAAAATGAATACAATAAAAATAGCTGATGGTTTTAAATTTAAAAAATCAACAAAATATATTCCTGACAAATATATTTGTATACATACGTATAAATCAACATTGCAGCTTTACTATAATCACTTGTACTCGTGAATGTGTATTTGTATTTTAACAATTGCCTGTCGAATTGCATATTTTGCAACCACAATAACATATTGAATTCAATTATTTAATATTTATTGCTCATTACATAAAACAAATTTGCACACTGCAACAGCCGCGGCTTGCTATCAGCCGCAGCAGATGCCCCTCTGATGCGTTACGCTCCATTTTTGTTGCTTTTATTGTTGGTGTTGCTGTTGTTGTACTGGCAGTGACTGCAAATTGACTGACACAAAGAATTATATTACGTATACGCAGTGATATGCACGCGACGCGACGCATCGCAACGGTGCAGCTGATGTCGGGCAAAGAGGCGGCGCGGCGTTCAATGTATTGGAAAATTGCAAAAAATTAGTCTCACCCAAAAACAAACACATTAAGGCTACACTTTGTAGCCGATTGTTGTTGTTGTTGTTGCTGTTGATGTTGACTGCTGACTCACATTGTTGTTGTTGTTGTTGTTCTTTGTTTGCGCCTGAGGGCGACAAAATAATTTTACAATGCTGACACATTTTATGTTTATTAAATCAGCAACCAGACAGGTCAGAACTGGACAGGACACTCAGGACCCAAAAGTGAACCCCAATTTGTGCATGCTTCATTTGATTAAACATTTATGCTCAACGACTGCCTGTTGTTGTAATACTCTGGTAGATGTGTGTACGTGTGTGTGTGTGTGTGTGCGTATGTTGTGTGTATGTATAAAATCATTCCATATGATTTACTCACCAGTTCATTGGTCAACTCAGAGGCGCTGATCCGTCTCAACTGGCTGGGCTGGGCTACAAGTGCAGCCCAGGCTTACGTAGTAAACAAATCTAGTGACCCGAAAATTAATTGATTGGAAAATAATGTTACATGCATTTATTGATTCAAGTTGAGGCGACTTTGGGCACATGTGACCAGGCTGCGGGTCAACATAGATTGTATCGCAACCAATACAATTGTTTCTCAACACCCTCCTCCCATAGTTGCCTGTATTGAGGTCAGTAAAAGGTTGTGGCATACTCAGTCTCTAGCTGCGGCTTTCAATTTGGTTTTCGGCCAGTCCACTTTAATATTTATCTACTTACAGCACATATATATTTGGCTTTTTTGTTCATCATCGAGATCAGCCTTGTTGTGAATGTGTGTCTATGCATTTTATGTAAAATCCATATTCAATTTGCCAGCTGAACATCTGTGCAAATATCAAATATTGACTACAAATACTTGCTGGCTTGGCAGTCCGAAGTCCATTCCCCACTTGATATGCTCGAGTGCTGTTGCTTTTACATTAAATTGCAATTATGTGCATGTGATTTTATTTGCTCTGTATGCGCCAATATACACACTTACACACATCTGTACTCGTGTATTCATGTTTTTTGGGAAAATTATTTAAATTTGCTGTGTGCGTGCTTTATAATCGCTGACTTCCATAGTGTTTACCATGGAGCCCATTTATGAACTTGTTTCACTTGATTGGGTGTTCAAGTGGCATGCATCAAGTTAACTTCATTGCAGCACCTACGACATGAGAATTATAAATTGTGTACATGCAATAAATGTCATAAAATACATTGAGCTCTTTTACATTCACACATTGGCAACAAAAATGTTGCCCACATTTGATAGCAGCTTTTGCAAATCAATTGGAATCGTTGTAACGGCTGATTATGTGACTGCTTAGTTGCTGCTCTACAGCGCACTGTTAAACAGCAGACAACTGTTACCAAACAGAAAGCTTTCTGTTAGAACGAAGCGAACAGCTTATAAGCTCTTTTGTTTACCTTTGCCAAAAATTTCTCTTAATTTGTACTGAGCGCAGTGCTTCGAGTAATGCTTTTAAAACTAAAAAATGATAAAAAACGTTTTATTAAAACGATTAAATTATGGATTTAAGACACGTAAAAAACTTGTTATTTCTTCATTGTGATAATGGATATATAAATGTGTATTGATTAGAATTATATAAAGAATTACAAAGTTGCTTCATTATAATTTTGTTTAAATATGATTCATTCATATTATGATTTAGTTATTACGGGATGATTTTAGTTAACAATTAAAACTTCAAAACTTTTTATAATGGGCAACGAGTTTTTTCGGCAACTTCTAAATGCAAAGTCTCATTTCATAACGCGTTGCGCAGGCTTCCTTTTTTTTTTTTTAAGTAATTTGATTCTTGTAAATAAAAAGATAAATAATAAATATGGGATAAATTGAGTGTAGGTATATATATGAGAAAAAGGCTTTTCATAATGTTTTTAATGTCAACTAACTTGAAATAGAAAATACGGTTTATTGAAAATTGTAAATTTAGGCGTGTGCACTTAAAAGAGATGAACTATTTTTTATACTTCGTGACCATTGTTGTCAACTAGTTAATTAATTATTTTGCACTTGCTTGATTATCCATCGACTGTGTCCTTAATTGTGTATGCCTTAGCCCACACAGATAAGCACGCACACACAAACCTTCAGGAACACTTGGATGATTGTCTGCAAATAATTCAATATTTATCGTTTCGCAAAATCTCACGCACGCACGCACAATGCGTACTTACATCCATTCAAGCATCCAACTCCCACACCAGAACTTACCCTTACCTTTACCGCACTGCAAATGGTGGCAACATCAGCTCATAACTCAAAATGTATTTAGTAGCCAATCAAGCAGAATGACAGGCACAATTTCAACAACAACAGCAGAAAGAAAACATTCCATGCTCAAATTTTGGACAATAACAACATCCATTCGAGGTGATCCATAAATGAAAATTGATAAACCTGGGCACACGTGTCCTGTGACCGTTGCTCCTGTTGTACTTCGCACAAGCTATGTAGCTTATATGGATTTATGTGCATATGTATGTGGGTTTCTGTTTCTGTTCCCAGTAGCTATATTGTTTTTCCTCGGTCATATTTGTGTTATTTAAGTAATACACTGAATTCATTCAGACAGATTAATGCGATATATATATATATATATATATTGTGTGTATATTTATTAGGTACGCCTCAAATTATGCAACATCATGTTTATTTGGCTCGCTGTGTGGTGTGAGGTTTGCGGAATTGAGTTTTCCTAGCAGCCAACAACGAGCTCTCAACTCTTCATGGTTAGCCCCAATACAAATTATAATTTTCTATTATGCCATGCAAAATTAGTTTTTTTTTTCTGCGCTCAAATCCAAAAACAAGAAACCCTCAAGCTGGCACCATTGCTTATAATTAAATTAACTTGCTAATAGTACACCAAACTGGCCCTCAGACTGTCGCCTCTTAATTGAAACCTTGCTGGGCAAAGGAGTTGAAAGGTTAGATGCCCTGTCGCCCCCGTCACCAAATGATGAGCCTTGGCAGTTGCAAGCAAATGTATTTTAGGGGTTGGGAACATAACACAAAAAGGTCACCAATAAAGTAATTAGGCGCTCAGTGTCCGAGAAATTTGCTACATCAAAGGACACGCCCCCAGTTCCCAGTACATCGCTGTCTTTGTGCTAAGTTAGGGGCACAGTTTTGTTACCTTTTGTGCGCCGCTCTCGGCTACCAACAATGTGAAATTCAATTATTGCAAATAGGCCAGAAAGTGTGCGGCCTGTGAAAGGCCAGTGAAATCTGGCCGAAGATGTAGATAGCTAAATTGCTTTCCAAGTGACACACTCAACCCATTTAAAGTCCAAAAGGTTGGAAATTGAGTGATTCGCTCTGGATAATGAATCAACAGTTGAGCTGGGTGTTACTTGGCAGTTAAGTTTATTCCAAAGTGTGAATATGAAATATTGTCAAGTTATATATGTATTTTTGCAAGAGTTAAAAGATTCTTAATGTTGTATACTAGCTTTTTATGATTAACTTAAAAACCAAAATGAAAGTTTGCTTGTTTTAACTGGTTCTCCGACCTATGTGACACAATGAAAGACAAGATTGCGAACAATGATATTGAGATCCGATAATGAAAACTGGATCCATCCAAAGCAAAAATGACCAGACTGAATTAGTTAACTAAGTGGAAGACCGTTCAAAACCTTGCTGGATTCGTGTTATCTTCAAAATATGATCGCAAATAATTCCAAAAAGGGAAAAAGGCAGTTGTCATCTTAAGGAATTAAAAAAAAAAAAAAAATTACTCCTAGGATTGGGGCTTTAAAATTGTCCTTGGCATTAAGCAAATAAATTTTTAATTTTATTTGTATCAAAATTATATTCGAACTCTTTTCGATTTGTCTTCTTATTAAGCTGAAACTAGGAAAAATGTCGCAGCTTTTAGAATAAAATAGTAGTAATAATAATATTAATTACTTTATCTATGAAGTAATTCTAGATAATCCGGTTTTCTACGAACAATATTTAAAAGTCTTAAAAATTGTGAGAAAACATGTGACAAAAAAATATTTGATAGTTTACCATAATGAGCAGAGATTGTTAAAGCCGCTTTTAAAATCATTGGACAAAATAGTCTATCGCTTGCGTAGTTCGGACAGGAACTGTTCTTAAACTTAAGACCACATTTTGGCCAAAACGGCGAACGCTGCGATCCCTGGCCGATAAAAAAGAAGGACAGAGTGACTGAGATTTTATGTCGATGTTTGTGTAGAAGCGTACCATAAAAAAACTCAAGAAAAAGCGGAGAAAAACAATATGCTTGCCACCACGAACTGAGTAAGTTAAAAAACTAGCAAAGCAAAAATCTTATCAGCTACAAAGTGAAAAAAAGTAACTGGCAAAATTGTGGAGCGATATGCCTGAATGTAAGTAGCTTTAAGTTGTTTTTTTTTTGTTTTTCTGCTAATTTTGTAGCGTCACATTGGCGACATTATTGTGGAGTAGATGATGGTGCAGGCACTAGGTGTAGGAAAGCCTCAAAGATGGCACCCAACAGCCGAAACCAGCGCACATGTCAAGTATGCGGCAACTGTCATAAATTCAAGTTGAAATTCTGGTCTG